CACCATGCCGCCCCTTTTTGTTCTACCGCCCCCCTGAAAAATGAAATCGCCCCCTGGGGGGCATTATTGCCCACGTTAAGAACCACTGACCTAAGTCACAACTGATTTGACTGCACATCATTATTGATTAAACCATACTGCTCACCTGTTCCCAATTTCTTCACAAATTTGCCATTGCCCTCATCTTGCAAACTACCCTGGAACATCTAGCATACCAGACCAAGGATACAGAGCAGTAAGTAAACACTTGAAGTTTAGTGAAATCAACACAAATAGTAAGAATTCAAAGTTCTTACTGAGAAAAAGAGAATTCCTCCCTTTCTCTTTACACTTAGAGCTAAAGAAAGCATCTATCACGATGATCTCTGATGAAAAAAATGTAGTCATTTTAGTCTGGGGAGGGAGAACAGCCAAAGAGAGACATAATAGAGAGCTATAAAATTACAGAGAGGAGGAAGCACATAAAATTATAGTGTGGAGAAAGATAAGTTTTCTTGCCTCTCATAAAATACTAAAATTTGAAGCCATTGAATAAAATTGGCAGTGTGTTCAGGACAAGCAACAGAAAGTAACTCTTCATGTGAGGCATAATTAATTGATGGAATTCACTCCCAGTGGATGCGACGACCAGTTGTTTAGAAGGGAAAAGGTTTAGTAAAATTTATGGAGAACTTAACTCTACTGGTGCTTACGAGGTTACATAAAACTGCCATGTCCAGGTACAGTAAAGCATTAAACAGCATTTTCTGGAAAACTGGAAAAGGACCGTAATTCCAAGCTCTATGGCTTTCTAGGGTATTCTGAGAAGCTTCTCAAGAAGCAGAAACAACATGAGAACCAAAATGCTTCTAATGGTCTAATGGATGAAGCTGTGGCAGGGGACCTTTTTAACAAACCATGTTAATGTTTAAAATATCAACCTTTCTCCAATTCCTCCACAGTTAAGAGCTTTGGAAACAGACTGATGGACTCATCAAAAGAAAAATGGAGTAGTGGAATGTGTATTTACTTAAGATGTTGATGGACTGCAATTCCCATCAGCTTCTATTTGTACAGTTGATGGTGAGAAATGATGGATGACACACAGAGGGCCAACAGTTCCATTGCTGGTGTAGCTGCAGAGAATCCATTATATGTATTTTGTTTATTTCCTATGGGTAAATTTTCATCTGAAATCTATTTGGGACCTCTTCATCTGTTTATTTGATGTGTATCTCACCTTTCTCCTAGGACTAAAATTCCAAGTGATTCACCACAATATTAAAAGCCAGATGTTGGGAGTTAAATTCCCCACTGTGCCTCTGGAAAAAGAGCCAGTCTGTGTAGCCAGTCTGGGAATTCTTCACAATTCCAGGGCACCTCCAGAAGGCAGGAGTGGTAAATGACTTCTAAGTACAGTGGTGCCTCGCAAGACGGTTACCTCGGGGGACAAAAAACCCACAAGACGATTGGTTTTAGCGATCCCTATGGTGCCTCACAAGATGGTTTTTGCTATGACCATGCTTCGCAAGACTTTTTTTTCCCGAGACCGATGCTTCGCAAGACGAATAAATTTCATTCGTCTTGCGAGGTTCCCATAGGGATACTCACAATTTTTTCGCAAGACAGTGATTTTCGCGGAACAAATTAAAATCGTCTTGCGAGGCACCACTGTACTCTATACTTAGAAAGCCCTGAAGTCAGCACATAGTTGTTGTTATTACACAAAAACACAGGAAAAAGTATAAACATTTTAAAGAAAACACAATTATCAAAAATATAATGTCCAAAGATAAATTAATTGTAGCACTCAAACATTGGCAAGAATCCTACTGGTGATTTACTCTTGCAGAAGTCACAGTAGCAAATTGCTGCTCATTAATGAGGTGCTGATTGTGTTCCTCCTGGATGCATGCCTGATTGTGCATCCAGGGGTGTATGCCCAAGAAACACAAGCAGTACCTTATTGTGAGTGGCAATTTTCCATTGAGACTTACCTGATTGCCAACAGAAGTCTAGCCACTCTTGAGTTTAAGAGCACCTTGAAAAACGTACAACACAAATCTGTTCAGAACCCGACTCTCAGGAGTCAGTCAATTTCCTAAAGCCTTACTTATGATTACATATAAAGCCCTAAACGGTTTGGTACCTCAATATTTGGCAGATCGTCTTCTCCCACCCAGATCTATCCGAATCAACCGCCATAGCCAGCAGGGACGGCTGAGGGGCCTGACGCCGAGAGAGGCTTGGAAGGAAAAAACTAGAAACCGGGCCTTCTTGGCGGTGGCCCCTCGGCTGTGGAATGCCCTCCCAACAGAAATTCAGCTGGCACCCTCGCTGGATGTTTTTAAAAGACTTACTTAGATAAAAACCAACATACAGTCATGTGGTCATAATGACCAGATAAGCGGGGTATGTATAAATAAATAAATAAATAAATAAATAAATAAATAAATAAATAAATAAATAAATAAGCCTCCCTGAATTAAAAATTAAAAAGTCCATGTCTGCTGGCAGAAGAATAACTGAGAGAGGTCTCAGCTTAGCTTCCCTCAGCAGAGAGTTCCAAAGTCTGGGAGCAGAACCTGAGACAGTGTTTTCTAGAGATGATTGATTGATTGACTGATTGATTGACTGATTTGCTTTATAACCCTGACATGGCATGGCATCTACCACCATGTCCACACCCACATTTTCTTACTCCACAGCAGAAGAATCTATGACACCTGCAAGTTATTGCTTACCTCCATGATAGGGCTGGAAGCCAAGACCTTCTCTTCAATATTGGTTTCACTGGAGGAACCTCCAACTGATGCGAAGAAGCGCATGGCATATTTGGCAGAGACTGTTTTGCCGGCACCAGATTCCCCGCTAACGATGATGGACTGGTTCTTCTCATCCCTATGGAACAAAGAATACGGAAGATATTATAAACTAATCCCTTATTGTAAGTATGGTATAGCATCTATAAACACCTTCAAAACTAAACTCACACACTCTCTCCCTCTCTCACACACACACACTCAGAAGACTCTATACCACAACACCCCTTTCTTTCTGTGACGCCTTTTAGTGGCTCACTGGTCACTAACTTCTGCATCTGAAAAATCTCAACTTCAAGTTGAGTACAAGTTATAAAGTACACCTTGTTTTCACTTTGACTGTCAGCCATACTGTATAACTTTAATCTGTTTAGAAATGGCTTCTTCATAGCACAATCCTAGCCGATCAGGAATCATACAGTGAATATAATCACCAGATGACACCACATATCTTCTTCAGATTGCCAGTAAATAAATAAATAAATAAATAATATAGACAACTCGGTCTGACTAAATGAGAATTTAATAAAATAAAAACATTCCCCCCTCATTGCCCATATTTCCAAAAGAGAGACATGATGTTAGTTGCCCCAAGTGCTCTTAATGTTGCCCCTCATGGGACAAAAACTAAATGATATATTTATTGATGGTACTGTGGAGCTTCTGACATGAACAGAGTAAGAAAGAAGGAATAAACACTGTCCATGTTCCAGAAAAAGAAGGAAAAGACAGCCTATAGATTTTTGACTGGGTTGATGTTTCCCCTTCTTGCCAACTGGTGCCAGTTGTCCCCCAGAACTGAAGTATCTGTGAAACATAGTTCCTACAAGAACATTTGCCCCCAAATTAGTACTATGAATGGGGTAGAATACAAAATAAGAAGTGACAAAAGTAAGCCCTACCAGATGACATCTAAAAAAGATTTTTAACCAGAAATAGCTGTAACACATGCAGTTGGGTCACAGAATCATAGAATAATTGAACTGAAAGGGGCCATCGAGTCCAACCCCCTGCTCAATGCAGGCATCCCAATCAAAGCAAATCTGACAGATGATTACCCAATTTTCTCCCGAATGCCTGAACAGCCAGAAGCAGCAGAAGCAGGACTTTAGTAAAGTTGGTGGTTCTTAATCACCCAACCAAGACCAAGCCACTCTCAACCAAAGCAAAAATAAATAAATAAATAAATAAATGATTGCCCAATTTTCTCCCGAATTCCTGAACAGCCAGAAGCAGGACTTTAGTAAAGTCGGTGGTTCTTAATCACCCAACCAAGACTAAGCCACTCTCAACCAAAGCAGTAACGAAAGGGATCACTAGCAATACTACGCTGCTCTTAGGAAAATCCACTTTATCCTCAGCTCTTCTAAAAACTGCAGGTAAGTTTCAGGAAGACTGGAGGAGAGGATGTCATGGCCCTTGCTAACTAGAGAAGGGGATGATGTTGTGGTCCTTCCTAATCAGGAAGTCTCAAGGTTTTGACCCTGTGAGCCATGACTTCAACGTACCACTGCTCCTTATGGAAAGATTTCCCTTTTTATATATATGTTTATTTGGCCCGCGGGCCTTGTGTTTGACACCCCTGATATATATGTTCCCTCTTTCCCACAGAAGAAAGCTATTAATTATGATAATACCCCATTCACTGTAGGATCCCTTACTAGATGTGATCATCTATATTATTTATTTATTCTTATCCATACATTGCTTTTCAGGTATCATTTCTAAATGTTTTTACAAATGTTTTAAAATTGCTCTTAACGGGCCTTGTGTTTGACACCCCTGATATATATGTTCCCTCTTTCCCACAGAAGAAAGCTATTAATTATGATAATACCCCATTCACTGTAGGATCCCTTACTAGATGTGATCATCTATATTATTTATTTATTCTTATCCATACATTGCTTTTCAGGTATCATTTCTAAATGTTTTTACAAATGTTTTAAAATTGCTCTTAATCTTGGTTTTAACAATAATATATGTTTAATTTTTTTAAATATGATACTGTGTTTCCCCAAAAATACTTGGTTTTAACAATAATATATGTTTAATTGTTTTTTTAATAAGATACCATGTTTCCTCGAAAATAAGACAGGGTCTTATATAAATTTTTGCTCCAAAAATGCATTAAGGCTTATTTTCAGCGGATGCTTTTATATAAATTTTTGCTCCAAAAATGCTTTAGGGATTATTTTTATTTTTCGTGTACAACAATCTAAGTTTATTCAAATACAGTCGTGTCATCTTCTTCTGGTTGCTGCACAATGCTGGAGGGTGGATTTTCACTTAACTGTAGGGCTTATTTTGGGGGTAGGGCTTATATGACAAGCCTTCTGAAAAATCATACTAGGATTTGTTTTCAGGTTAGGTCTTATTTTCAGGGAAACAGAGTATCTATATTATATTTTAAAACTCTTGATTGTTTCAGAGTTTTAGTTATTTTCCTCTATGGGGGAAAATGCAGCATATAAATAATAGAAATGAATGAACGAACGAATGAACAAACAAACAAACAAATAAATAAGCAAACAAACAAATAAATTTCTCTGATTAATCCAAGCAATTAGAACTGGCACGAAAATGAAGAAACTGTCCTGGGAAAATAGTAGGTTTGAGTAAAGAATTCAGAGAAGGGGTAAAAGGCTATGCTACTATGCTACCAAAACTGGAAGAGCCTACCTCCATGACAATGCTGCAGCAATGGGGATGATAGTGGGTGAGGCAGATATTTGGCTGGAAGGGTGCAGGGTGGCATTTCTCTCACCTCAATTGGCAAGACCCTTTGGGCCATCATGCCCAATTTCAATGAATTGCATGCCTGAGTACAGGAGGGTCATCTCAAGTCATTTTCATAAGAGATCCCTCTTAGGATTTTATATTTTTTAGGGTCAAATTACATGTTAAGGGAAATGTGTATTTTTTGCTAACACATTTTATCTCCTGTATTTCTCTTCCAAGGATCACTTATAAGGAAAGAGGTTGTGTGCAGTCGGACATGACATATCTTCATCTCCAAAGAAATCCCATCTCCTGGAGTGCATGGAACATTTTCTCTATATATTTATAAGCCTCTCACAAATGATGAGTTTTAAAATGATGCATCACATGGTGCAGTTTCCAGAGCTTCTCTCTTGTTCCTCTGAACTGTGTGTGTGTGTGTGGGGGGGGAATCCCAAACCTAACAGTCACCATCTACCGTCCACAGCACTCAAAACTCGCTGGTTGTCTAAAATTCCACCTGCTATTTCTGTCTCAGATTTTATTATGAACCAGTCCTTAATCATACCAATTGTGGAGCCACATTTAGCTTTTAAGCCACATATCTTTCAAGCAAATCTCACTAAAGGGATTCCCATCTCATTCAAGGGAAAAGAGAGAATAGACTCTAAAGAATATAGACCCTAATTTTTTAAATCTTTTATCTGTTTCTCACCAAATGGGAAATCCAGACTATAGACAGCCCCGCAGGCAAACAAACAAGGAGGAGCCGACAATTGTGCATATTGTTATAAAATCAAGGGGCAACTATAAATACTATCCTCCTTCCATAAAAGGATCCAGATGACTATTGTGCTAAAAAATTTGTCCCAACTTTTTCTAAGCCAATTTTCCATTTTGACTTTATAGCAGAGTTTGGAAAAGGAACTTGGCATAGGCTGGCCGGGGGATTCATGGAATTGTAATCTAAACAATTAACTTCTCCAAGCTGCGGTTTTGGACCTTTCCGACATTCAGGTGGCCACAGACAGAGGACTCAAGAATGGGGCTGTTCTCCGCACTGAAAAGCATCCAATAATTGCATCTGTTGGTCCTCCTTCCTTAGCCTGCAGTGGCTTGCTCTGCCACCTCCCTCAGGATTCCATCTCTCACCCCCTGTTCCTCATGGCCTTCACCACAGATACTGCAGACCTCCTTTTCATCATCTCTCAATTATAGACCAACTAGCACAATCTAGAGAGGAAGGACAAGGCTGGGGAGGAGGCGATGGCAGCAAGAAGATTTGTGTGGGTGATGGCGGCAGGCGTGGCAGTGTGCAGAATTGCCCTATGAGGGTCGTGATTTGTCTACCTCAAATAGCAGTGGACTGTTGGCCGTGACTGTCCAACCACATGTTTGGCTGCTTATAGGAGGCTTTTCTTTGGCCACTGTCATAAGAGATCCCTATCTGGGATTTTGCATGTCTGAGGGTCAAATTAAATGTTATGGGTAAACTGCATTTTCTATTACTTTTCCCCTGAATGATGTAGTTCCCCCTACTGCTCCATTCCTAAGTAATCAGAGCTGTAAATGAAGCCTGTGTTTTCTGATGACCAATAGCAAAACAAACCCAGGCAAATTTTCAACATGCTAAAGGAGAAAAGTTCATGCTAATATAAACAGATGTTTTTCACCTCCTAACATAGCTCTGCTTTTAATGACACACTAAGTGTAGCATCTAACTTGACTGTACTTGTTAAGAACCCCCAGCCCTGCATTCTGTTATCAGCTGTGTGAAACCCTAAGCAGGACAAGATGGGGATGGAAACCCCTTCTTGTCCATGGTCAGCATCCAGCACCCAGGACTCTTAGGTATGCTGCCTGGGGGGGAATCCCAAACCTAACAGTCACCATCTACCGTCCACAGCACTCAAAACTCGCTGGTTGTCTAAAATTCCACCTGCTATTTCTGTCCCAGGACTCTTAGGTATGCTGCTGTCCTAACTGACTTTGTATGTGACTGTGGGTATGACTACACTGACATAAAATGTGGGAAATGCTACAGGATTGAGATAGCCTGATTGCATTTTTTTCTGTTGACCACATTATGTAAAAGCAAAGACACATCAGCCTAGAGGTCCCCTTGCCAACCTTTAGTTTTTCCTCTAACACTGAAACTTCTACTTTTTTCACAGAAGATCCATTCACATTGATTCAGATGGTGTGATCACTTAAACCAATGCAGAAAACAGTAACACCTTTTCTTTTCTTAAAGGCTTGGCGCCATCACAGAGAGAGAAGAGGAGGAAAGGAGAAGGAAATTGTTATTAGTTCAGGAGAGCTAACAAGCTGCAAACAAGGTTGTTCAGTTAATTTCCT